ATACCCTCCCTTTCTCCCGCCCTCAGCCTCTTGCATGCTTTGAGAGAAAAGGCCAATTAATCTTCTTGCCACCGCCTCTGATAAGCTGCGTACTGGTCCACAGCCATAGGCTTCCCTACCAAGACTGCCTGAGCACTCCCTGGAAACCAGGGCTAACTGGTAAACGATCACATTCATTCTTCCACAGCCCGAACGCTCCAAAGGAGGCTTTGCCAAGCCAAGCCAAGATTCTGCCCTGAGACATCAATCATTAGGGAGACTGTTGAAGTAACCTGTCACCCAGAGGGAGCCATTCAGACCTGCTGTTTCCATCTTGACATGTGAGCTTGGATGAGTGAGCATCACTGCCTCCAGTCACATACGCTCTCTCCAGCACCACAAACAGCGGTGTGCTTGAGAGCATTTGATTAATGTGCTGCAGGGTTACTTTACGTAATTTTACATAAATATCTTACATAAAGAGAGATCATGCAGGTCTTTTATTCTGAGTAGGTTATATACCTGCTTCCTTTATGCAAGTGACATGTTCCAGAAAACTTAAGTATCAAAGAGATTTTTGCACGTTAAATCACATTTTAATTTAAACAAATGCAAGGCTTGCAAATTAACATGTAGCAAATCTCTGAACCTCAGTTTCCTCATAAGAAAAATGGGTTTAATCATTTTTGCCCCAGCTAGCTTATAGGGCTGTTGGGAGACTTGTGAAATGAAATTTTAATTTTGTGAATGTACTTTGTTACCTGCAAAGCACTTTATTACATCCAAGCAATGTTATTGTTGTTAAAATGAAGATGTAGTTGGTTAAATAAATTACTACTTCCAAATAGAAATTCTGTGATAACCAATTTTCATGTATTTGGTTGGCTAAGATGAAGATTACACTTGTATGTTTTCTGAACCCAGGCAGGCCGGGATGGCGTCTCACTAAGCCTTCTGAGACTCCAGGAGCACTTTGTGGTTGCCCATGGCTATGACTTCCTATTGGTAGTAAAGAGCATTCTGTCTGCAGATGTCTGTTAAAATCTTAATTTCAGGGCACCAGTTAACTTTGAGACCCAGCTTATGTTTACCTCGGTCAATCTGATATAAGGGCATGAGAATGAGGAAAATCCCCAGAGCCTCCTTAGGTGTGGCCCTTGCTTCTTGAGATGTTCTCCACCCCAAATACCTGGGGAATTGTAAAGCCAGACAGACATGTGTGTAGGGTTCCCCACCCAAGGGAGAAGTGGCTTGCTGAATAGAGTTCTTCTCTTTGTACATAACATTTTGAGGCAAAATGAAATGATTGCCATTGGGAGGGAATTCATTTTATTCAGATAACACCACCAAATAGCAAGATTGATGGCACATTTTACTGGGAAACCGCTCGGCAGCAATCAGATGCCTGTCTCTGTTCCTGCCCCCTTGGGACCGCCTGCAGCCACAGTCATAGCTTAACTATAAGAATAGATGACAGAAACAATGGAGAGTATGACTTATAATTATTTTCTGATGCTGTTTATGAAAGATGAGACCATAATTGGGGTGGGTGGCAGCAGAATGCAAGATCAATGGCAAATGCGCTCTCACCAGACATTTGAAAGACATTGGGACATAGCTTTTCCTCTCGGAGAAAGACTAGTATCAGCTCCTCACTCAATACACTTTAACTCAGTGTCTTTTCTGTGCAGATCATCATAATAGGAGATATGGAGGACACCCCAAAATATTTCCAGCATAGACCAGGAGCTCTCATTTTAGTTGGAAAGATAAGACGTTCTTGTGAATAAAGATAAGGGCCCAGAAGAGAGAGCGGGGAGGAAGAAGCTAACGCTATCCCTTCTCTGCTGGGACTGAGGCACTTAAATTACATTATCCCATTTGGTCATCATCACCATAGAGTGACATCTTCATCCCATTCCATGAATGAGAATACCGAAAGCAGAGAGGTTCAGTGACTTGCTCAAGGTGCCACAGCTGGCAAGCGGCAATAAAGTATTGGTTCCTAGTCTGCTTCATTCTGATGGGGCCAGACTCAAAGTGAAGTTTTTAAATTGACCTTCCTATTGATTTTGTCAGGGGTAAACACCAATTTTTGAAAACCAAATAACATTTGGCTGTCCTTCCTCTTACTCAGTTCACTTCAGGGGAGAGGGCTGGGGAACTACTAGCTCTAGGATCTGAAGATTTAATGTCATTTTCTGCTGACAAACTATATTTTCTGTTGATAAACAAGTAAATAATTGTTCTTGTCCATTCGTGTTTCCATGGCCCGATCTTCATCTCTTTCTTGGGGCTGAATACTCCCTTCCCTCTTCTTGCATTCATTTAGTGCTTGCTCACGCTCTCTCTGTCTCTGTCTCTGTCTCTGTCTCTGTCTCTGTCTCTCTGTCTCTCTCTCTGTCTCTCTCTCTCCCTGTCTCTCTGTCTCTGTCTCTCTCTCTCACCTCCTCCCTCCCTCCCTCCCTCCTCCCCCCCACAAACGAATTCAGACACACACCTTCCCACCACACACCCATATGCAAAGTAAAATTAGAAATACCTCATGACTCTCAAGGTATTTAGGGAATGAAGATCTTCAATCAATATAGCCAAACCAAGCCCTCCAGGCTACCTTCCTCCCAAGCCAGGGTGAGAGGCAGGCAGAGCTTGTGAAAAGGGTTCAGACAGCCTGATCCTGACACAAAGCAGCTCTAAAGGAAAAAGGCCACTTGGGTTTCCCTGTGTCTGCCCTGTGGCCACTGGAACTCACAGGGCTACCAGATTCTCAGAGGCCAACACCTGTCAAGCTGTTCTTTTGGCAAAATATTAAGGCAAACAATATATGTAAGGCATATATGTAAGGCAATCTTTCAGAACATGAAAAGATTTCCTGGTTGCCTTTTTTATTTTGATGTACACTGATAAAATACAGAGAAAACAGTATCGGATGACTCAAAAGTACAGGCCGAGCTGATAAGCATACGGCCCTCATTCTAAGGGATTGCTTTTGTTTTAATCAACCAGGTGAGAAAGCAAGAAACGATTATATATGTTTGCCTTCACCCAGAAGAGTGGAACAGGGCAGGTGGGTGAGTCATGACAGTCCAGGAAACTAAGGTAGTGGTGGTGGCCCCAATGTTACTGCAGTGTTTCAAAAGCTCCGTCTGCTTCCCCTACCCTTACTCCTATATGATACACAGTGGCCGAGTGTCCCCACCCTCTTGGTGCCCCTCAGTACCCACCTCAGAACAGTAGAGTCGGCAAGGGAAAGAAATAGGAACAGGGAGGTGGGGGCAGGACTCCAGACAGGTGCTCCTGGTTCAGTCTCTCTATCTGGACAAACCCCTCTGTTGTCCTCCCTTCTCCAAAATCAGAGCTCCCCTGGGGTCCGGGGGGGTGATATTAGGTTGTGTAGAGGCTGAGAGCAGGTGCGCTAGTTCAAATCCAGGCTCTGACACACACCCTCTGTGACTTAGCTTCTCTGTGCCTCAACCTGAGCTTCTGCCGAAAGGATTAACAAAGGGGTCTTATGCTAAAGGCTTAGTTAGTATAGAGCCCAGTGCTAAGGGCCCAATAAATAGTATCAATAATTACAAACTAATACTCGAATAGTGCTTACCATGGGCAGGCCCTGTTTAAGGACTTTACATATATTGTCGTATAATCCTCACATCTCTGATTTACAGATGAGGAAACGAATCTGAAGATTACACAGTCGTGAATGGTGGATATTCAGACCCGGGCACACAGGCTCCAGAGTCAGGCTCTCGAAAAATCTGTGGCAATGACGCTGATATGTATGGGTGTTGCCCCCAGCAGGCTGAGCTCTCAAACCCCCATGCTTTTCTCTGTCCCAGAGTGGAGAGCAGGGAGGGTTGTCAGCCACAGCGGGGAGGGAAGGAGCAGATGATGGCTAGAGCATCCACATCAGGGCTGAATCCAGATTCCAGTTGGAATCAGTGGCTGAAGTCAGGCAGGACGCCCCAGCCCGCTCCAGAGGAAGGAGGGGAGGAGTGGGGGGCAAGTCCACGATGCTGAGAGGGGTGGCCAGAGCACCGCCCCCAGGAGGAGAGGGAGGGGTGGCGGGGTTGGGGGTTATCCAGCTGCCATCCCCACTCGCTGGTGCCCAAGTGGGAGGACCGCAGCTGCCCACTCCCTCCTTCCCACACCCCCGCTACCTGCCCAGTGCCCGAAGCGAATCGTGAGGAGACTGCGAGCCAGCGGGGCCGAGCCCACAACTTTGCAGCCTCGGGGAGGACGAGAGCCGGCGTCCAGGGCTCCTCTTGTCGGCGACAAGAGCTCGGTGAGTTTATTTCCCCACCCATCTGCGGCGGTGCGGCGGAGGCAGCGGTGGCGGTGCAGGGGGCGGCTTCCCGGGCGTCCAGGAGGCGGTGGCCGAGGAGCCGGCGGTCGCCCGCGCTGCCTGCCTGCCTCTCTGGGGCTCTGGCTGTGCCGCCCTCCGCGGCGGGAGAAGCCGGCGCCAGTGCTGAAAGGACAGCTCTCCGCGCCTCCGGGGCCGCCCGCGCGGTCTCCGCTGTCCCCTTTCCGGC